AAAAATAAAAAAAAAAAAATAAAAAAAAACGCAAAAAAAAAAAAAAGGAAAAAACAGAAGGGAAAAAGAAGAACACATACTGTAACATACTGCCAATCGTACGGGGTGTATCAAGCGGAAACACACACGAGATACATGAATGTATATATATATATATAAAAGAAAAAAAATAACATGCGTACTTTTTTTCGCAGCACGTATACACAAGCATCTATGCGTAGATAGATGTAAATAAATTAAATACGTCGAAGGTGAGGTAGGTGAGGTAGAAACGAGAGAAAGGGAGAGTACGCGTGACCGTGAACGAGAGCAGTACGAATGGAAGTATATAGAGAAAATTTCGAGAGAGTTAAGGAGAAGAAATAAAAATAAAAAGACGATTTAAAGATCATTTTTTCAAAATATACCACTTCACGCTTGTTTGCGTAATCTGCATGCGTGGATTTCGACTGAACACATGTGTAACTACCGTAGTTTATCTACCGTTAATTAAATGTAAGTATCTAACGATCGAAAAGAACGAGAGAAAGAGAGTGAAAGATGAGAGAGAGAGAGAGAGAGAGAGAGAGAGAAGAAGGAAAAAAAGATACATATGTCGACAATATGCGGATGCTTTTCGTGGTCTCGAGGTTCTCGGTGATCGAACATCTTCGTTTTCCATTGGACATATAGCGTTTCGATCCATTCGAGAGTAATTAAAACTCTGGCGAATCGTTCTTCTAGTATTTTTCATTAACATGCGTTGAGAAATTGATCTTGACGTAATGTCTGTTTTTGAAAAAATACTCTTTGAGAAATAGCTAAAGTTTCGCTTTCAAATAGAAAAACATCTTTTTCAGTTTTTCTTTTTTTCTTTTTTCCTTTTTCATTTTTCTTATTCTTATTTCATTTCCCTTCGATGTTTTCGATTGTATTTCGCGGTAAAATAATTGGTCGGTAAAAAAGTCTCATAAACGTCGATAAAATGATTGGAAAGAAGAGATCGATTATCGACGATTGGAAAAATTGACATTATATGGTGACATTATATAAAGCGCCGAAAAAAGTGCCATTACGGTAAAATGAGGAGATGAAGCGAGATGATATATACATATATTTAAAAAAAAAGGAATAAAAAAAGAAAAATGTAAAAAAATTATTCAAAGCATCGAGAATCTCGCGAGTGTGAGGTATCATTATGATATATGTGCAGTCGATGCTGAGCGTGATTTTTTCCCTTAAGTGCTTTATAAAACTCAATCGTATTTCGTATCATCGCGTTTAAACGTCGCTGTAAAGAGAATGCATAAATATAATAATGAAGAAAAAAAAAAAAGAAAAAACAGATGAATGCGTGAGAATTTGAGATATACTCGGACATGCCAACGTTTACATTCGAATAGGATTTCAGAAACGAAAAATTTAAAGATTTTCGCTTTTGTTTCTTTTTACTGTGAGATAAATATTTCGTTTCTTCGTTTATATATTTCGTTATAAAAAAATTTTTATTTATTTTTTGTATATCTTTGTTCCGTTAATAATATTGAATATTTTATTTAAATTTATTTCCTAAAATTAAATTGTTTTTTTATTTTTGTAAATTTATAATTGATAATTTTGAATCTCTAATAAATTATAAAATATATAAATTATTTTCCTTTTATTCGAATTTATAATGAATAATTGTAAGAATTTTATTCCTCTTTTTGCTTTTATTTCATTTACAATTTATTCAAATTATTTAATACAAACGATTTTATACGAATAATAAAATAAACAAATCATCGCATATAGCTCTAATTCAAAAAAGAATTTTAAAAATATCACTTATTATTTACGTAATAAAATATAATCGTACGTAATGCGTTACAATTTAAATCTATTGTTTAAAAAAAAAAAAAAACCAATCGAATCTCGAAAAGTATTAGAAAACGTGTATATATAAAAAAAAACGGTACGCGCGGGATAAGTGAAAAAAAAAAAAAGAGGAAATATTATTAAAACTGTTTTTCTGTGATAAATCCAAAGAATCTAGACAGATCGACGATACCGTCGCGTCGATAGACAATTTTCTAGCCTCAAAATGCGTTTGTACCAAATGTCGAGTAAGAATTGAATGAGACGATGTGAGAGAAAAAAAATGACGAACGAAAGAGAGAGAGAGAGAGAGAGAATATTTGAGAGCAAGCAAGAATGCGAGAACGGAGAGAAAGAGAAGAGTGATGAACGAGAATTATATATGCGAAAGAAAGTGGAAGGGTGAAAGGATCGACTGCCGAGGGTTTAAAAAAAAAGAGGAGGAGAGACAAAAAGTAAATCGTGTAAATCATTTTTTCGTATGCGTGTGAGAGCGAGATGCAAGTCGAAATCTTCAAAAAACTTTAAATACAAAAAACTCTTTAGCGTCGTAAAGGCAAGCATATGACCAAGCTCTTAACGATGATTTAAGCGTAAAAAAAAAAAAACGACAAACACTTAAATATAAATATAAATATAAATATATATATAGCTCTATAATTCAAGGATGTACGTATAAATATATATATATATATGTATGTATATAAGTAATGAATATACATACACACATATATATATATACACATATAAATAATTAATAATAATTAAATTAAACTTTGAACGCGCTATTATAAATCTTTTGAACGCGAGTGAAACTACGATGCAAAAACTTAATTATTAATGGAGAGGAGACGATTATAATAAACGATAATAAAAAAAAACATAGTAATAACGATAACGCTGATAATATTGATATGACGAATGCAATGAGAAACGATATATAATTGCAAACCAGGAGTTGCTACAAGACGGTTACGATTAGGAAAACGTTTCTCGATCCCCGATCTCGCGAAGGCAGAGCATGCTCGACGAAGAATCTCGCTTTTTTTGAAAGGATAAAAAAAGAAAAAGAGGAGAGGAGAGGTCTGCGATAGCGTGTTCTATGTAATAATGAAACGAGAAGAGTATGCGCGAACAACGATGCTGATTGACAAATTGGAATAATTTGTGTATGTAATACCGAGGAGAGGAGAAATATGAGGATCGAGGATAAAATTTTGACGAATATTTTAACGTTTCACGGAATGATCGCGCCAAGTTAATCACGAGAATATATCTATATTCGATAGAGATCCAAGTAGAAACCGTTAAAAAACTGGTGGAATTATCGATTTTTCCAATTTATTCTTTCTATTTCGCGAAATTCACCTGATCGTAGCAGTTTCAGCTTTCCAGGGCAGGGGGGGGGGAGGAGGGGAGGGAATTTAATCGCGAAACATATTGCTATTTACTAGGTATCTGGTAGCCAGAATATTAAATTAATCGTGAATCTTTGCCTTCGAGTCGCACGACAATGGATGATTTTCTTCCGTGAATCGTTAAGACCGATCCTCGAGAATCGGATGAAAATCGCATGGCACAACGTGAATATGAAAATGGTTCGATCGTTAATTGGATGAGGAGGAGAGGAAATGAAACGAAAAATCATGCGATAAAGAAATGGAAAACAAAATAGAAATAGAGGAAAGGAAGAAGAGAGGAAAGGTAGATAGATACGTTGTGAATACACGTTGTACGATGATAGAGGCCGTGATCTCGACTCGGGTTCGACGGTTAAACAAACGAAAAAGGAGAAGACAGACTTCTCGGCTCGTTCGTGGAAGGTACGTGATAATTAAAGATAAACGATTGAACGAAAGGAGAAGAGGAGGAAGGGGGAAAAAACAGGAAACTACAGTGTAATAA